AGATGGGGAGCAGTGGTACATCAAAGCCCGCACAAAGTCAGCAGGACAGGTCAGGACCGAATAGACAACAGCACCATAAAGCCATGATTGTAAGTGTGTCTCTCTTTATCAGGATGCAGACTGGGGTTCGCTAGCGCTAAAGTGGGCGCACACCGCCAAGACTGATATTGGAAAATAACACTGCCGTCCTTCTTTGATGTGGGTTGTGAAATGTAACCGCAGTCCAAGTAGCTGGGTGACAGCTTCTGGCAACTGTAGGATTCCATTACACTTCCTGAGCTATCAGTCAGTATCTATGCAGTTAACGACAGAAGCCCTGAAAACTCCATTTACACTGTACAAGTGTAGGGCAAAAGAATTAAATTGCAAAAATTTTGCGTGCATTTTAGTGTGCAGAATGCACAAATCTTATAGTGGAACATTAATTCGAAAAAGTTATGGCATTTGCGAAATAACTGCGAAAAAAACTGACACTGCATTCGCACTGTGAAAATTTTCATGCGGGTCAAGTTTAATGTACACAAAAGGATCTGTTGAAATCATGTTAGTAGCATGTTTACAGTCGTTTCAGTTATCCGCTAGATCGGGATTCGGCAGTTGGGGCTGCCTTTTATCAAGTGATTATCCAATTGTCTCTTGAACACACTCACGGTAGGGGAATTAACAACATACACCGGCAAAGAATTCTATTGACGAATGACCCTCTGTGAGAAAATGGGGGGACGTTAATTTGTGTGGCACAGTTCTTTTTTATGCTGGTAATCATGTCGTCTGAGATTAGACCTTGGTGCCATTTCAAAAGCGTTTCGCAGTCGACATCCCCATCAAGTCCTCCTAGCAACTGAAACGTTGCTACGAGATCACCTCTATCCTGCCTGCAGTGGAGAGGATAGAGGTTCAAGGCCTTCAGGCGCTGCTCGTACGTGAAATTTTTGAGGTCATGAACAGCCTTGGTAGCACGTCGTCGTACACCTTCAAGGATAAATACATCCCTCCGAAACCACGGTCGCCAAGCCTGCACCGCATATTCCAGGTGCGGCCGCACAAATACCCCATATATCTTGTCAAAGGCATCTGCATTCAAGTTAATAAACGTTCTCCGTATTGCGCTCATGACTGACATTGCCCGTGCTGAGACTTAACACTGCGTGGTTACGCTTAGATCGTCTTTAATGAATACGCCGAGATCTTTTTGCACATCTACAATTTCAAGGGGTTGACTGTCCAGGAGATACTGTCGTAAGGGTGCCTTTGTTCTTCGTCTTGCTGATGCTATGTGCATTATCTAACATTTTTGACTTTGAATTTCATGCACCATTTCTCGTCCCATGCGTGAAAATTCTCTACGTCCTCTTGTAGTATCCTGGCGTCTTCTTCATCTTTTATGACTCTCCAAAGTTTAAGATCGTCTGCAAAGAGCGCTACGTCTGATCTCACTTCCCGTACTAGATAATTTACATAATGAATAGGAGCGGCCCAAGAACTGACCCTTGTGGGACCACTTTTAATAGGTGCCATTCTGAGCAGTAGGCATCCGCAGTGACCATTTGTCTGCGACCGTTTAGGAAGTCTTGAATACAGTTCAGGAGATTTCCTCTTATCCCTACTCCTGGCAACATTTGATCGAGGCGCTTATGTGGAACGCAATCAAACGCCTCGCTGAAGCCAAAGTAAATGACATCTAGTGGATGTCCTTCATCCATGGCCCTTGACCAATGTTCGAGCGACGTAAGCAGGTTTGTGAGCAAGACCTCTTTTCACCGACGCCACGTTGAACTGAACTGATGTGACAGCGGAATGTATCGAGCGATGTGATTGATTTTTGACTATCTTTTCCATCAGTTTGCAGCACATGCATGCCAGACTCATCGGCCGGTAGTTGGTGGGATATAGCCGTGAGAAGGTAGAGGGGAATGCACCTAAACTCCAAATGGTTACCACGCCCCACTACCATGCGTTATCAGACCATTTTAACAAGGAATTGTGAATATGAGCTCATTCTCTGCTCCAGAAAAATTCATACGCACCAAACTAGATGTGCTCAGGTGTTCTAAACGGCATTCAAGCTTTACGCAAAGTCAGCTTACTGGTAGCTTATTTTTAACACATTGCGTGATGTCACGCTGATAAGACAATTAAGTTGTTCTGTATGAGCACCGCCTTTATTATACTTGCGCACTGTTTACACACGCGTCCGATGAGAGAGGAAAGGAAGGAGACGTGGACGGTTCATGAAGACCAAGCAAGAGGATGACCGTTTTCACGTCAGCTGACCCGAAGAATGCTAAAGATGAAGTGGAAGGAAAGGACCCCCGATACCGAGATCCTGTGTCAGTATCCATGTCATGTTGGGGCGGCTACATTCGGGTCGAGGCGACCACATATTGGGAATGAACGAGGGTCTATCCAGACAGCCACATTATAGCGAAGTCGATACTAGTGCTCGTAAACGTGAGGGCCGACAGCGTCGTTACAAGGACACCTCGAAGAGCTCCCATGGGCACCTGAAAATCAACACCTAGACATGGGTTGCCTTCGCTTAAGATCGACGGGCGCGGCGTACTGTCATGAGGAGTGAGACAGTCATCTGTGAAGGCAACAAATAGCCCCCGCCAAGACAGGACCGCAAAAGTCAAGTGTTATGGACTAACATCACGAAAAACCAATTCCGCCATCATTTCCCCACATGTCCGGGCGCGGATTAGCGCCCCCAAATGTATCCTGATCCAAAGCAGCGTCAGTACAACTAACTCGCCTCAGATCACACAAGAAGCCGGCACTGACATAACTAGAAACGACACTTCTGTCATCTTCCCGGCCAACATTAATGTCCCTATCACCACCAATGTGGAGTCAGATCCAGCTTGTGCCCACTGGGGTCACATCCTCGAAGGTAGCATCGGCCTGATTGGTCACTTTCAAACGCATCGCACCAAAACCGGCGAACCGGTGCCAAAAGACTTGATACGTACCCGCCGCCTACGTCCCGACGGGCATCGCATGGGCCTATCCGGCAATATGCGCTTTTACATAAATCTTCGTTGAAGACCGCAGTCCAAAGCCCGCCACGCACTACCTGCACCTACACACACTCTAGACTACCTATTAACCTACACCACAACACGTGCACGCATGCTTTCACCGTAACACCCTGTTTCTCCCCCGCAGTGTGCGCGGGATCTGTTTCACACTCATCAACAGGGCGTGCGAAACGCCGCATGTCAGAACAGGCACATCTCACCTAAGTAGTCTGTTACCGTTGGAGTGAGGACCAGGTCGCGCGTACCACGAAGAGATAAGGGGAGTTTGGCTTTGTTAATAACTGAGTCCGAGTCCACCCCCGGCTGCCTTAACATTGGTCTGCTTTTGTAACGACGTGTGCATGGTTCATATGCCGCCCCTCAAATCTGCGAGATCTAAGGTCATAAGTCCCGCTAGCCACTGCGTCCGCACCCATTTGCGGTCCTCTTGACTTTGTCATCAGAACCCGGCAAGAGTTGAAAGAGTAGAAGTCGATGTGCTTCAAGTCCACCAAACTATCGGATGTATGTGCGTAGAGTCTAATCAAATAAACTTGGTTCCTTCTTGATTTAAAGTGATGGCCCACATTACCCACTCCACTTTTCGCCCTTAAGATAAGTCACACGTAAGACGTAAGTCTCCATCGGTTGTCAGCAAGATAAATATCTTCCATTGGGAAGTTTGCAGAAGATAGTTGAATTTGCTTCCCTAAATAAGAACGAAATAAACTAGAAGGTCGATCTACAGTAGATGTGCTAACACATGAAATGCTAACTGAAATCCGAAATGCGTTTTCCACTCGAAAAGATTACGTAAGTAGAGTTGTAATATTAATTATTGTGCAGCCTAATCCCAAGATATTTCGGTTACTTCAGGATGCCGGAATTTAAATGAGCTTCTTTCCGGCCGCCTGCAAGAACGAAACTCTGTAAAGAATGACTACTTAAGTAGCATGAACTTTCCACATTGATTTTTGACACTCTTATAAATTCAAATATATTTCATATAAAGCATGCATAAAATATCCATTATTTTATTCATTTGGTGGAAAATAACGTCTTCTTTAAATTAAGCACATGACAGGAGGGTATAATCTGGTTTTAACAGTTTCCAATTATGCGGTTTCTTGACACCGTAAATGCCCGTTCATAAAACAATGTCTCTGCATTTAGTAATCCTGCTTGTAAAGTTTACACTATAACTCAAATCCACTGCTAAATTTTATGAACCCCACATGGTCTTCTCTTAATTGCGTATATCAGTGTATGATTTTCCGTATACGGAAACATACAGCTTGTAGTTCGGAAACCCTAGATGCGAGTCTAACAGCAGGTAGGGTTCAAAATTATTCAGGAGTTGGAAAAGCTTTATAAAACCAAATTATACCCTTCTTTTAAGAGCAAAGTTTAAAGAAGACGTAATTCCCCACTAGAGGAGTGGAAGAATGAATATGTTTCTGCAGGTTTCCAATGAAATATATTTGGATTTATAAGGGCACCGAAAATCAATGAGGAGCATTCATACGACTTAAGTAGCCATTCTTTACAAAGTGTAATTTTTTAGGCGGCCTGAAAGGAGTTCGTTCAAAAGCCGGAATCCCGAAGTAACCGAAATATCTTAGGATTATTCTGCATGATAATTAGTATTACAACCCTACTTAAGTGATTTTTTGAGTTGAAAACGCAGTTCAGGATTTCAGTTAGCATTTCACGAGTTGGCAAATCTACTGTACGTATCGGAAAATTTTTAGCAAAGTGCAATGAGGAGACTCAAGCCATGCACAAGCAACTACTCCACTCATGTCGCCAATGATTTTCCGTGAGCGTGAAATAAATGACCTAGGCTAAGTTGGTCACCACGCCCTTAAAATTGCGAGTGATACCTGCTTGTGCTCGCTAAGCGGTCGTTCTTAACCCGACAAAGAAGCAAAAAGCAGCACTAAAATGTGTATAAAACGCTTTTATTTACAGATATGGTTCTCATTTAAATCCTCCCCGCTTTTGAGTGCTGATGTAGAACACTGAAGAGTGATTAAATTAAAAATAAGAAGTACCATTGTTTCCTCGGATAAATGTATCGCCATATTTGTTCTTCAGTTGACCGTCTACATATTCCTCAGTTTGTTCCAAAACGACGTTCATGTATCCGTCAAGAGATATCAGGACGCCTTGCATGCAAGTATAAAAGGTTTGCGGGATTTACCTCGGTAATCAGCACCGGAATTTAGCTTAACCACGACAGGCCGTCCAATAATGAGTTTGAGAAAGTCTCTGGGTGTTTGTTTCTGGGACATGACGACAGACTAGGGGTCGTTACAAGACGAACCTGCGAAATTCGTAGAAATGTAAGTCAAGAAATTTCAACGGGTTTGGAGGGCAGAATTTTCCAACAGACGCCAACCAAGTGAACTTCAGGGTTATTGTTCAGTTCAGTTCCGTTTATTTGGGGGAAACGTAGATGTTGAACCTTTTAACTGCCTGTTTGTTACAAGGAAGCCAATTATATCAAAAATTTGAAAATGGAAACACCAAACAGCTACTAATTTTTTTCGAAACCGGTCAGATAAACGAATTGTTCCAAGTGCCGAAAACATTAGCATTACTAAGTGTGCTGTACAGTAGTCAATCAATGCACAATTGTGTTGTAGAATATTGGTGCGATCTCAGTTTCTGAGGGCGACAAATTGAGCGCCAGCATTCACATTCAATTACTTGGGATAGTAATACAAAACAAACGTTACTGAAATACAGGCAGTAATATTAGAACGATAATAAACTGCTAGAACGAAACGCAAAGACGATATCGGTCAGGTGGCACTACGATATTCGGTGGTATGCCGGTCCAACTTGCGCTCAAAAGCCCGACGGATGTGGACATGACGATATCTGCAGAGAAACAGTCCAAGCCTCGATCACCCCGTTGTCAGGACTCAAAAGAATGCAGAGCTAAGTAAGAGGACAGTTCGAACTTTCAGAAGCCAGCAAATAATTACTTATGAGACCCAGGCTTTAAGTCACTTAAACGACGCAAGCGGACATCTAAGGCGCTGGGGCACGATACACAGCCCTTCACCGAATATAACGACGAAAATACCGCAGATGCGAGGGGGGACGAAAGACAGGAGGATAATTGTGACGACGGCAGCAGTGATGGTAGAGGGGAGATCCTCGTAGTCTTGATGAGAAGACTGGTCATCGGCACTGTGACGATCTCGAATGCGTAAATCGTCCGAGCAAGGTTTGATATACTTAAGCTGATAAGCGGAAAATGTGGATAAGCCCACGAATTAACCTTGAGCGAGAATAAATCGGACATGAAGTGATAGTATAGAAGGCAGTCAAAAAGAAATTAGGGGGGGGGTAAGAAAAGTAATTTGATTCCCGAATAATTTAGGCAGATAGTACGCAAATTGTGTAATTAAAAACCTTTATTAGACTCCTAAATGTCTACGAATTCTAACTCTCCGACAAGCAGGACACAGCGCTTTCCAAGAAACAACGGACCTTGCCGGTCACGGAGGGGATTGGCCGGAATTCAGCCCGGTCTATGTAGCGAATTAGGGGCATAACGAATGACCGCCTCCCACTTCACTCGGCGGCCGATTCTGGGCGAAGTGGAGTCAGCTGGTACGCCAATCCCGCAGACCGAAACTCGCAGGACCAGAGCCATACTTGAGGTTGACTTTCACCGCACCCGCATAGGTCTCCAATTGCCTAACTTGACACCGCCGCCGCCGCCACCACCACAAGAACGGGAGACATGACAACCGGAGTAGGAACAGCATATGGTAGTTTAGCCACTTTCGTCGGCAATTAGGAAGGCCTCAGTTGGCGAGTTGTGCTTCTGGCTGGCTATTCAATGCTTCCATGACAACACGACAGAAAATACGAATCTAGTGGATGCAGCATGGGTAGTACTAACCAAATACTTTCAGGCGTACTATTTATACTTCAGGTCCGTGTAAAGAGCTCGTTTTAATGGAGATCTCATACACCCGCTGGTTGATCTGGCTGACCTCACACCGATCTCACATTTCCATAGCGTCCAACAATCACTGACACCGTAAATGGCATTAAACAAACCACCTTCCTCACAGGGATGATCGAAGTTGCAGAAGTTGCAGAAAAGCCTGATACACGGGCGTTGAAGGCGGATTGAAGTAGGGAATCAAGACTGGCAGTACCGACTACAGCAGAAAAACTGCACCCTCACACTTAGTAAGCTAGATGAATGCGTTCTGTACAGAAATTTGTCCGGCCATATTACCGACATTCGTGCTAGCAAAAAAATAGACAGGTTCTGCAAATTTTTGGAGGTCGCACGGAATAAATGCGAAACTTCAATGTCCAAAAACTTCCCATACGCTTTTTGGGAAAATTTCACGAGCTCGTCTGAAATCAATCAGTTTTCAGCTAACATGCTAGAACCAGTAAGAACTTAACGAATCACGTCTTGGGCTTTTAAATAGTGTCTTCATTGAGGGTCGGCCGTCAACCCCAACGCACTGCGCTGCTGTCAGAATAAACTAAATCACAATGCATTGTGGCCCGCAAACCCCCGAACCAGTAGGCTGGGTATCAGACATGTGCACTGGCATGTTTTTAAGAGAGGAAATGTATAGTGTCCGCTGAGACGCGTAAACTTTTAAGGTCATATGCGCAATCCGCAACAGTGCGCACGCCTTCCATCTGCGACATAAACACCAATTCATTGGAAGTCCGCGTGCCCGGGCTCCGCACAGGACCACTCAGGATGCTAGGGTCGGATATCATTTACTATTTCTATTGTAAATGCGTATATGACAATCCCAGCACACACTACATGGCACTCGCGCTAACCCAGAATGCGACTTTACAATCGCCTTCATTGAATTATCGCCTATATTTCCCAGCAAAATGAAACTGTAGAATGAAGTTTTGACGCATGTAAATTTACCTGACCAAGCGACCCGTCATGTCACCGACCAGTTTGCCGTTGGTAGCCGACACGACAATGGCGACTGGCAACGCGTAAAGAGGTACTGGTTGGTTTAGTCGAAGGAATTGCAAAGAACGCAGTTTCTCGAGTGATGTATAAAACCAGAGGAGTGAAGATTTCTTTGGAAAAACAGAATTTATTGTATTCAGGACATTTTAGGACGGTCCTTAACAGTCTTCTGTCCCTGTGCAAAACCGATATGCGGAGGCCGGACAAAGGTTAATAATACATACGAATGACGACAGAAAACTGGAGTAAAAAGCGGACAGTACGGGTTGATTAAGACGGAGCGATGGAAATGTCCACAAACATGGTCACAAAAAGGCAATCAATTTTTCGCTTATTTAAAAGCGATCCAAAGGCCTCGGTGTATAGCAGGAGGGGAGTTTGCTACTGTTATGACGGTGCGTGACTTAAACAACAGACTTGTCAGATGGACAGTTGCTTAATCTTCACTAAGCTGTGCCACATGGGCCACTTTGACTTTCACAGTGAATCAATGCACTTTTAGTGCAAATGTGTGGGATAGGACGACTATGGATGAGCAGTTGCCTAGGAGTCTCGGCAGTAGCGTGCACGCATTGTTTCGAGGGTGCAGGCCAGCACGAACAGTACCGCCTAGATTGGTAATTAGTCTGAATCACAGAATGGCTCCTCGGCTCGTGCTGCGTTTAGCACATTTTTCAGAGTAACTCGGAGTTAATAACGAGAAATGGGACTTCTGTACACTTAAGGAGAAACTCCGCAGGTCTATTCACTCGTAAGCACCAACAAAATCTTACTAGGTGGGAGCACAGTCGCGTGTCTAATAAAAATTTTCCAAGTTACCTGCAAATAGTAGCTAGTTTTAGTCAACTACCTCTAACAAATCATTGGTATAGATGAGAAAGATCAACCCTAGCAGAGATCCTTGTGGGGCACCGTGTTCGACCGATAATGCGCACGCGAAATGCTCTGCGGTCTAGAGGACTTCCAGTCGGACAATGATCACTAAACTCTCCAACATGTAACTGGTATTTCACAGCATTACAGACCTCGCTGAGGTGTGGAAGTACACCCTTGATGTCTGCGTTACAGTCAAGTTGTCTATGCATGATTTTTTGCAGTCAGGAGGTTCGTGAGGCGCGACTATCATTTTAAGGTCATGCTGGCTGATGCTAACGAGTCGTCCTTTGCAGAAGTAACAGAGACAGCAAAAATTGGCACTCTCAGGGGTCTTGCGCTCCGCAGGTTTAAGGCTGGTTGGATGGTGATTTGCAACCAGCCACTGAGATGTTTACTAGGGCAAGAGCAACTCGAGACTGTCCTCCGTCATCAGATACGATAACTGTTCCAAGACCAACGTAAGACACGAAACTGAGAGTTGCGACCGCTAGTGGACGCGGCAATGGGTGTAGAGTCGGGGTTCGGAAAATTATTCGTGCCTGGACGCAAGAGACTCACACCGACTAGGTGCGAACGTCTGAGGGTTATGCAATGGGTGTGGAATCGGTTTTTTATCATAATTAGCGCAGACATCACGGTGTTTTGACTACGGCCATGTACTTATCATTCCTACGAGGCAATAGTATCGTGTTGACTGCTCTTTGGCCAAATCAATATTTGCCCTATAGGGCGGGCAGCTAAGTTGTGAGCGAACCAGAATACACAATTAATCAAAGCAAGAAGTGATGGAGATCATCAAAAACAGTCAGAAATTGCTCTGTCAACGTAGTGCGAGAAAAGAAACCTCCAAGGGTGAACAAACCGTACAAAGTCGCGTTTCTCGACGAGGACGCAACCCTAAAACCAATCGGCTAGATGCTAACTGGTGCACTAATCAAAGTTCACATTTAATTGCCGTATGTGAGTTTCTGGTAAGAAAGCGTGTCCAGGAACTTCCGAACATTAAAGGGCCTTTCTCTGAAGAATCTAGATGCTCAATATTAAGTGTTAAAGTATTTTCTACTGACCTAGCTATATGGAGGAGGGAGTCGCGGATAAACAGCAACTAAGTAAACCTGAACTGGTCGAAAATGAGCTTATGTCTACCGATAGCAATAATATATACTGGACAGCAGTTAAAACCAAAATAACTCCATACAGACGGTGAACTTTCGTAAAACGTTTACAAAAAAACGATACTTTTAATGAGAACATTGTTTTAGGCAGTCCTCATCAAAATCTCCAGCAAATGATGCGTAAGAAGCTATAGCATGTGAAAATTTTCTAAAACGTGCTGTCGATCGCCAGAAAATAATAATCTGGAGGTAGTCTGACTGACGAAATTTATCATTGTTTTTAATACGTCCTTGCATTTCACCCCTTTTTGCCATG